GTGTGTGTGTGTGTGTGTGTGTGTGTGTGTGTGTGTGTGTGTGTCTATGTGTGTGTAGGGCGAACAGTGGACGAGGTGCTGGATCCTGTCCCTACCACCACGTGCCAACACTGCATCACAGTTCATTTCACAGCCTCCTCGGCTGCGCTCGGCCAAACCTCTCAGCAGGTGCACCCCCCCCTCTCTCTCCCTCTCCCTCTCTCTCTCTCTCTCTCTCTGCAGAAGAGTTCTGTCAGCACACAGGGCTGCATCTCTGTGCTCAAAGTCCTGATGGCACACAGCCACAAACACAAAATTACTAACGACCTCAGCGTCCAAAACGCTTTTTTTTCTTAAATATCTATTAAAAGTCTCTCTATTGAGCTTTTACTCAKCTGAGACACCTTTAAAAGAAAAAAACTGCCTAGAATGACGTTTTACTTTATGAGCAAAAGCCAGGAAGTCCAAATCTGGAAAAAAAAAAAAGAAAAATATTTTTCTCTCTAACAATTGAAGTGCCGGATGTTTCTCCCTGAGTCTCTCCATTTTCCGGCCTGTTTGCTCCGTACATCATCTGCAGTTAGCTCCGAGAGGAAGAAGGTGTCCTAGAATCACCACTTTGAAGATAAAGGCATTTTCATTGAGTACAATCCTCAAGAAGCAATCAACAAAGGCACAGCTGGACGTCTGCTGCTTTTCAAATTCACCGTTTGATGTTTCTGCACCAGTAAGAACGGACCGCTGTACTGTACAGAACCATCAAACACCAGAGTTATTCAAACTGGTTACTTACAGCAGAAACTGTTTGTTTTTACCTCAAAGTTCCAGTTTTATTTTCAATAAAATATTTTGAAACACTAGATAATACTGCCTGGTACATACCTGGCTGGATTTTATCTGGTAATTTAAGGGCTCATACCAAGTATTTACTAGGTGTTTATCTGGAGTGCATAGCTGATTTCCTCATGTATGTATCTGATAGTCCTTTACATGGTATGTACCAGGTACTTACCAGGTATTTACTGGGTGCGTGTACTGGAAACTTACCAGGTACTTCCTACTTTGTTAATATCAATTCCATAAACACTAGGAACATACCGGGTGCTTGTACCTAGTATTTACTCATGTATGAAATTTATATACCTGGAGTTTACCCAGTATGTACCTGGTATTTACTCATGTATGAAATTTATGTACCTGAAGTTTACCCAGTATGTACCTGGTATTTACTCATGTATGAAATTTATATACCTGGAGTTTACCCAGTATGTACCTGGTATTTACTCATGTTTGAAAAAAGTACATACCTGGAGTTTACCCAGTATGTACCTGGTATTTACTCATGTATGAAAAAAGTACATACCTGGAGTTTACCCAGTATGTACCTGGTATTTACTCATGTATGAAAAAGTACATACCTGGGGTTAATCTGATATGTACTCGTGTATGAAAGAAAACATACCTAGTGTTTACTCAGTATGTACCTGGTATTTATAAGGTACATTGTTCATTTCTGGTACTTACAATTAAAGAAAATAATACATAATGGTCATTATGATACTTACCTGATACTTAGCAGAGTACATATCTAGTTTCTACTGTTACTAGACTATATCATAAAGTAACTTGTTACCCTGTTTGTACAGAGTACATACAGGAGTGTAAGATCCATGTCAGTACTAGGATATGTTGTATAATAATTAGAATAAACCAAGCTCTAAAACAATGAATATACTTTCTCTGTGCACTATTTGAACAAAAATCTCTGACTTGATTACAGCAGCTAAGACCTGCAGGCTTTCGGTGAACTCCGTGTTAATTGCCGTGCTACTACAGTTGTGCTAATGTTTCCGTTTCCTGTGGAAAAGTGTGACTGCAGGTGATGACAAAGTGCGAGACAAAAAGCGATGCAGACRCAGTGACAGCTTCGGATCCTCCTCCTCTCACTCCTTCCTAAACGTGTGATTAACAAGATTATAGTTTCTGTTGATGAATGGAGGAGAAAAATGTAATTAAACCACTGAGGCTGATACACGGTGACGTCCAATTTACACAACACCCGACGCAGATGCTGGACATTAACGTCAGATTAATCACAAAACTGTTGATGTAGCGTTTTGTCATCACTTCCCAAAGTTTCATCTCATAAAAAACATGATAATTTCATTAATATAGATTTGTGTGGAAGAATAAAAAARTAAAACCAGAGCAGGACAAACATTTCTCATTTTCTGCCATTATTGTTTTTATGTCTGCATAATACATTTTTGTTCTAGTGTTGCTTTTGGATGTGGTTACCAGGGTAACATCTCTAGTGGCCTGCAATTTCAGAGAACGGCAGTGTGTAATGTTGGCTCCATGATTCAACAACAAATTTCTCTGTTCTTCAGCGTACAGTGTATCAGGGGGGCTTAGTGGGCTAATGCTCCTCAGTGCAGCGAACACTAAGACAGATAATTAGGGTTTATGGGAAAATCAATATTGTGACTCATTCAAGGAAGAGTTTCTTCAATAAATTTGTTTCCTTTCATTCTGCTCAATTTTTCTGTTTTATTTTCACTATGAGAATTAAACTGTTACTTTMTATTGCCTCTTTTGAAATTAAAATAATAACTAAAATGCAGCTAACAAAGAGCCAATAAATAAAACTAATGAAATACGTCAATAAAGTGACAGAGATTATTAATTGATTGATTAGCTGTGGCAACTGTCTTGTATTGATCTATAATCAGTTGTAGATTTATGTCCACTGCTTATTATTTTTGAGATTTTTATTAAAATCCATCCAGTGRTTCATAGATGTTTTACTAACAAATGCAAAAACATCAAGATGTCTGTTGTTACAAGTTCAGTGATGGGTGACAAAATAAAGTACCTTTCAGCATCTGATAAAGGTTAAGATTGAATACAAACCAGGTGTTTAAATGTTCTGAGACTAATGAGAACAGGAAACAGGTGAGATGAGAAACCAGACTGAGGAAACAAATAATAAATATAGGAAAAGAACCCAAAACAGAAAATGCAACCCCCCACTCCCCCCCCAAAAAAAAAGAAAAAAAAAGAAAAGAAAGGAACACAAATCCTGAAACAATCGATTATTTTTGGCACAATTAATGCCACCAGGGAGACTCCACTTCAAATATGATGAACATAAAAAAAGTTCTGTAATTTATTCATCTATCAAACACAATTTATAATTTGATGTATAGCCTGAAGTCGACACAACTTGGGACCGACTTTTACGAAGAGCAAATCTTTCCCACTAAATTGGTCATGTGACCAGGACATAAGGGTGTCCAGGGACTCCAGTGGATTAATTGTCAAATCAATCATTATCAGCTAAATACCACAATTATTCATGAATATTATTTTTTGCCAATATTGCCCAACCCTACAGTGATGCACAATCTCATGGAAAACTGAAAGATGTCACAATCAGAATAAAATGGTGAGTGACTCTCAGCTACAAATACGTTAAGTTTTGAGCTGTTTTTATAAAACAAACTGRGTTATATTTTTGTGCAAACTGTGAATCATCTGTGGTGGCCAAATGAGTTCATTGAGTATTTTTTTTTGCCTAAAAGCTGTATTAATGTCTGTCCAGACATTCATGAGTTATTTTGCTAACAGTAGAGTGGAGTAAACAGAAGCACAGACACAAAAAAGAGAAGTGAACCACATGAGAAGCTGGTTTTACWGTCCAGAACCACAAGCTGAGGATTGATCCATCACTGTGACGAGGCATGGCTGTGTCTTTAATTGAGACGTGGCTTTTTACATATTCAAGCATGTGCTGCACCATAGGCTGAATTAGCCAATCATGAATGCTGTCTGCTCTCATTGGCTGAGCTCCTGAGAGCTCTAAACTGTGCTGAGAGTGGGGGGGTGGGGGGGCTCTCCATCCCTTCTGCGCTCCTCYATTCAACCTCTGTAGTCAGCAGAACGAGAGGCTGAGCGGAGCATCGCAGCATCCTCGGCTCCGGCATCCTGCAGAGGGCTACAGGAGGAGAGAGGAGAGGAGAGGAGAGGAGAGGAGGAGGGAAAAGATCCTGTGGTGAATAAATAAATGAAAAAAGATGAAGACAGGCAGAGAGGAGAGGAGAAACACGGGGAGAGTTGGAGCGCTAAATGAAAGGACCTGAACAARCAGCGTTGCCCGAGGACCACTGCAGCTACACTAAATCTGAAGCTGTCAGGGCAAAACTCTCAGGGAGCCGGAGAGCGAGGAGCAAACGAGAAGTGATCTGAAGAGCTGATCTCATCACGCTGGAAAAGCAGGGATGGGAATCCTGGGAGCCTCTTCGTCAGCAGATCTAACCTCGCACAAGAATTCTGCTTTCGGGTCAACAGTTTGAACCTGCTTCTTCGAGGAACTGACCAAACAAGYGAAGAGATAATGCCCTGGTAGTTTCCAAAAAAAAAAAAAGGTGATCCCAAAACCTCCTCCTGCTCCCGGTGGATGTCTTCTATACTCCGCTCCCACTGCTCGGCAGTCCAACACACTCATGGTCGATGCGAAGGGACGGAACATGAAATGTCTGACTTTCTTCTTAATGCTCCCTGAGTCGGTGAAAGGCAAGTCAAGCAAGAGCTCCAAGAAAGGGAACGCCAGCGGCGGCTCCAAGCTGCCCCCGGTCTGTTATGAGATAATCACTCTTCGGAGCAAGAAGAAGAAGAAGATGTCGGCCGAGATTTTCCCCACCAAGAAGCCGGGGTCCACCAATGCCAATGCCACGACCACAGTGCAACAGTACCAGCAGCAGAACCTCAACAACAACAACACCATCCAGAACTGTAACTGGCAGGGACTCTACTCAACCATCAGAGAAAGGTAGGAAACAGCTCACTTACAGTAGTTCAGTTTAATTCAGCTAATTGAATTGATACGACTCCAAATCACTACTAAAGTCACATCAGGGCACTGTGCAAAAGAAAAACTCCAGAGTCTTTATTATCCAGGCTTTATGGGAGTGGTCTTTGACTGCAAACTTCATCAGCAAGTGTTTGATAAACACAACAAGCTGAAACTAAAAAGCCTAAACATTTACGTTGGCCTGTTGTTTCAAAAGCTCCAGCTGTCCAGAGCTAAACATGTCTTTGTTGTCTCTCCAGAACATCTTGGAGCTGTTTACTGAGCCCCCACCCCCGTTTACCAATCAATTATACATGAACATGGCTTTTAGCCTTGGTCCCATTTTCTCACAGCAGGAGGTCTTCCATTGTTTGATTCATCATCTTTTTAAAAGGAAGACGCAAGAAAAGTGAGGACAMTCCACCAACGCTAACTGAGCACTTTAGACAAAAAYGYTGATTTACTTTTGGATTTAACCCAATTAGAGATGGCCTCCAATGCCAACTAACTTTAGGAAACACAAAAAATGGTTGGCTWTGTACAGTACGGTATTAKCTGAGAGTCATGAACCATTGGATAGATTTGAGTAAAACTCTCRAAAAGTGATGACTGGATGAGCATTTACAACTGATTACCATTTGGAGTCAACCCAATTAAAGATGGCTGCCACAGSTACTCACACAGATAATGCTACAACACATAAATGAGCCTTTCTCTTATCGTCTCCTCTGGTCTCTTTCAGGAACTCAGTGATGTTCAACAATGAGCTGATGGCTGATGTTCATTTCATCGTGGGTCAACCAGGACGGACCCAGCGGCTGCCGGGACATAGAGTAAGAACTTATCGGCCCGTYTCATCTCATTGGTGGGGCAGGAAATGAATGGACATGTTATCGGGCAGATTGTTGTTCGTATCAAACGAGCATGAAACATCTTCTTTCTCAGTCCCAGGTGACGTGAATGGAAGCCCTTTGTGCTCTCTGCACCATGTGCCTTTTTTGAGACGGTCTTCAATTATTTATGTAAATGAGGCTGGAGGAGGAAGGGATGTTCTCACATGATGGGCAGCATCTTGTTTCTGCCTGAGTGATGTTTTTAGAACATGCTCTGCAATCAGATAGATTTTAAAGAGGACACATCATGAAAAATSCACCTTTTTTAGCTGTTAAATAMATTTTGTTGTGAACGTGRAGTCTCWAGKAGGCAGAAAAGTTKAATTTAGTTTCTCCCGGTTATCTTTATATTCTGTTTGGGTCATAGTTTTTAACCCATTCACTTATTTATTTTTCTAACTATTATGTCAAATTATTTGTGATGGAGCTGCCAAATAAGATCTGGACTTACCAACTACAGTTTGGTGGTCTTCATTCTCCTGGGTCAGACTCTGGCTCCAACATGTCAGGCTAGATGGACAAGTCTTCCCTTGTTGACATCTTTTAATTATTTGTAAATAAAATGTTTCTGTGCAGCTATATAGTTATAAACTCTGCTATCAAACTAGAACGGACCAGTCTGGAAGCTGGAGAGGGCCGGGGTTTGAAGCGCCTTGTATGGATTTAAAGAGGCAGCCTCAAAACAAGTTGATCCGAGACACACCCCAGAAAAGGGGCAGGGCTTGTGGAGTCAGGAGGAATTCAGACCAAAGCATTGCAGTTTCACTTTATAWAGACCCCATGAAGGATTTAAATGTGAAAAAGAAGGATTTAAAAGCATATGTTTGCTTTAAAGCTACATTGTCACAAAAATAAGATGCAGGATGGTGCACACAAAAAAGAAATTAATTAAAAACTTTTGTACTAAAACAGAAGACCAGCAAARGTGGAGAAATATTATTTTTGCCTGTAGAGTTGGCAAAATATGTCATGAACCACTAAAGGAAATTTAGTGAAAATCTTGATCTAAAATAAATCTTAAATAAATAAAGAGCATTAATAATTTGGGTTTAGCTCTAGCATCAGCACTTGTAACTACATTTTATTTAACAACTCATTGCAACAAAGGTTTCTTCAGCTAAGTTATTTAACTTAGTCTTCAGTCCGTGGTAAATGTTCAAACTCCTTCATAATTTTTTTTTAAGTTACATCTTTGTTTTCCTGTTAATTTCATGACCGTGCAATGAATTCTGGGATATCGTCGGCCACCTAGGATACTAGGATGCAGCCTTCGTTTTCAGGGTTTTGTCTGCGGCATGTGTAGGTGTCTACGAATTGAGAAAGACTACGGCGCGGTGCAGTGATGTAAGCCGCTGCCGTCAGTGGCAACCCACGAATTGAGACACAGCCTTTGATTTAACACAATTCAAGATGGCCGCCGCAGCTTATTGACTGTAGCCAACACAAAAATGTCTATAACTCAGTAAGTTTAACAAATACGGAGCTAAAATTTGAAATGGTACTAGCTGAGAGTCATTCACAACTCATATTCACATTATCACCTGAAATGTTATTTTCAACTTAAGATGATTTCAGTTTAATTTCTGGCATGAAAGGTTGAGGGTGATGTGTTTCCTCCAACTTMTGTGACCACTTCAATATGTTCCTATAAATAATCAGGATCCCTGTTCGCTTAAATCAAGAGCCTCCACATAAAAATACCTCCATTCCTTCTGTTTGAACCCATCTTGACATAAATTTGATGACTTTACAGCCATAAACGTCGCCCGCAGATATGGTTTGACTCAGCTTGGGATTTCTTTTAATTTTTGTCCTTTATGTTGGAACCCAAATGAATAATTTATGATTGGTAGCTGCGGTACACTTTGTGCTTTTAAAGAAAGCCATTATGAAAGGATGAAATGCCTTTTATATCAGGGACATTATGCCAGTGGGTTTTAAAGATGTTCAGCTCAGCAATCTTAATTGTTTCCGGTCGGACGGAGATCACATACGCATTGTCATTAAATTTATCTTTCTAGTTACCTCCTTTTCAAAAATAGAAAAAATAAAAAAACAGCTGCGAGCATTAAACTTATGTAGATATCTATGAAATGTAATGGGTCATGAGACGATGCTAGTTTTATTCTAACAAGCTTATAAATATCACAATGGTCACTAAATCTGGAACATCTCTACAGAAAAGTTTATTTTATACGTTTAACTTTGCACTTCACTCATAACTTAAATAAAGTTAAAATGCTTCCATAAATTGAAATTAATGTTTTAAAGAAACAAATTCATTAAAAATAACAATCCCTCTGCCTTAAACTTTAAATAAAGTTTATCTAGTGTGGGGGATCAGTCTCAGGTAAAAACACATTAAATTTTAACTCAATATCAATAAAACTCACTGAGTTATCACCATTTATGAGTTAGACATACGGTAAACGGTTATTTTCAGAATGCTTCAATAAAACATTAATCAGCAGGTAATTAAATATGTTTCTGCATGTCATGTGTGAAATAATTGTGTATTTTTCTTGTTTTTTTTCCCCTCCGTCTCTCTGGTTTCTCCCTTAATTTGGACAGTACGTGTTGGCCGTGGGCAGCTCAGTGTTTCATGCCATGTTTTATGGAGAACTCGCTGAGAACAAAGATGAAATCCACATACCAGACGTGGAACCGGCAGCATTTCTGGCAATGCTAAAGTAAGCAGTCACTTCCTCTACAACCTCAGATCGTTTTGCAGTAAACCAGCAGAGTTTTTACAAAACTCAGTATTTCAGTTGTGTCTTTATTGAAAAACAATCCCCTCTTTTTTGACAAAACTGTCAGACATTTTTTTCTTTTTATATCTAGTTAGTTTAAAATGTTTTCATCAATGTTTCATTATACTGTTATTTACTATTGGTCTTGTTGTTGTTCGCTCAATATTTCCTGTTCTCCCTTTTTATTTCATCCATGAAGGCAAGTTACAGCAGAATGCTGAAAGAAAAATTCAACTTCAATATTAATTTCATTAGTTTCCTTAGGAATTTGACTGCTGGGATTGTTTTGGACATATTTTTGACAAAACGATGGTAATTTGCTTCCTCATCCAACCCATTCTCACTCTYGAGTCATCACATATTGATGCTTTTCCAAGGTTCTGCGTCCAATTTTGATGCGTCGGGTAMTCCCCTTGCATCATTTTTTGACRAGGTGGGGCGGAATCTGTTGTCATAATTTCTGAAAGTATAGAAAATGCACAAAAACTACCGTCCCAAAGCCTAAAATTACCTTTATTCACTTTAGACATTCTGTCCCTGACCCTAGTACCTAAAATTAATCATTAACCCTGATACCTAAAATTAACCATTTCTAGAAAATGTAGGAAATTCACATCAACTACATGTTCCAAAGCCTAAAATTACCTAATATTTGCTGTAGACATCCTATCCCTGACCCCAGAMCCTAAACTTAACCATTTATCCTKATCCCTCATGTTAACCTCAGACCCCCGACCCAAAGACCCCTGGTGGCGCAACCCGGAAAAGCCGCGGGCGGCAAGGACYGATGCGAGGGGGTCACCCGACGCGTCAAAATAAGACGCAGAGGGAACTTTGGAAAAGTGTCAATATGTTGACGAGTCGGGAGTGAGAATGTGTTACCTCATCCCAGTATTGTGACTAATCGTGTGACGTTTTTGTCCTCCCGCAGGTACATTTACTGYGACGAAATCGACCTGACCGCCGACACCGTGCTGGCCACGCTTTATGCCGCCAAAAAGTACATCGTCCCGCACCTGGCGCGCGCCTGCGTCAACTTCCTGGAGACTAGCCTGAGCGCCAAAAACGCCTGCGTGTTGCTCTCCCAGAGCTGCCTGTTCGAGGAGCCTGAGCTGACGCAACGCTGCTGGGAGGTGATTGACGCCCAGGCTGAGCTGGCGTTGCGTTCTGAGGGCTTCTGCGACATTGACGCGCAGACCCTGGAGAGCATCCTGCAGCGGGAGACCCTCAACGCTAAAGAGATAGTGGTGTTCGAGGCGGCGCTCTGCTGGGCCGAGGCAGAGTGCCAGAGGCAAGAGCTCACCTCTTCCACTGACAACAAGCGCAAGGTTTTGGGCAAGGCCATGTTCCTGATACGAATCCCCACCATGGCTCTGGACGATTTTGCGAATGGCGCCGCTCAGTCCGGCGTGCTGACACTTAACGAGACCAATGACATCTTCCTGTGGTACACGGCGGCCAAGAAGCCGGAGCTGCAGTTTGCGAGTCAACCCAGGACGGGCCTGACGCCGCAGCGCTGCCACAGATTCCAGTCCTGTGCCTACCGAAGCAATCAGTGGCGCTACCGAGGCCGCTGCGACAGCATCCAGTTCGCCGTGGACAAAAGGGTTTTCATTGCCGGCTTCGGCCTGTACGGGTCCAGCTGCGGCTCCGCGGAGTACAGCGCCAAGATAGAGCTGAAGCGTCAGGGTGTCCTGCTGGGACAGAACCTCAGCAAGTACTTCTCCGACGGATCCAGCAACACCTTCCCGGTGTGGTTCGAGTACCCGGTTCAGATCGAGCCCGACACCTTCTACACGGCCAGCGTCATTCTGGACGGAAATGAGCTGAGCTACTTTGGACAGGAAGGGATGACGGAGGTGCAGTGTGGCAAAGTGACGTTCCAGTTCCAGTGCTCCTCGGACAGCACCAACGGCACCGGGGTGCAGGGAGGCCAGATTCCCGAACTCATCTTCTACGCCTGACGTCACCCACACTCCACTCGTTTTCAGTGCACTTATTAAAAAAAGGAATTTATCACTTTATCCATAGTGTCGGTCGATTATGTATTTATTTTTGTCACAGCTAGATCTTAGACCCTTCAGAGGGTCTTATGTGGTTATGTTTTTAGTAAATGGTCCACTTGAGTAGGACCAGATAGACGTCTTGTTCTAAAATAAAAAAAGAAATTATATATTGCACAGGATGCGCATGTATATATGAAGATATGTAAATTCTGAAATGTATATGATGCCACACGTGTGGCCCAAGCTGGCCGTAAAGATATCTTCTATATTAAAGATGCTTCACTGAGTTTATCATTTCTATGCTTGAATAGAGGGCACTAAGAGAGCAGCAATACTTCACAACCTGTACTCTGTATGGATTATTTTATCCCATGACTCAGTTGGGACTTCAGTGAGGGAAAATCATTTGTACGATACACAAAATCACAATTTTTATCCATGATTCCAATCAGAATACACTGTTCTGCTGTAATTCCTAAAAGGGGGTCTGTCCACATGAGAAAGACATCTTTTCGATTGGGCTTCCATTATTAGAGATGGGAGGATCTGAAGGGATCCAGATCTGGATGAGCCGTTTGTTTCCTACAGTTGATTTTGAATGAGTTAAATCATCACGTCTCATGGGTCGTACCTCGAGGTGCAACCACACGTTTCTGTACCGAACCGTTCAGTACAGAGCTTTAGGTTCAATACGCACTATGTATCAAACAATACAGATATTTAACATTTATCTGCTGAAGATGCTTTTTGTTGAAGGTTCAGTGGATCTGAGTTCGACTACTCCACCTAGGCTGCATTGTCGAGCACAGATCCACTGAGAAACTTGCTGTTTTAGCAGCATTTAACCTAAAAACTGTACATTTGAGGTTAAACAAATGTTCATAATTAATTTCAATAAATTACAAGTTAAGAAGGGCATGGACATTTCTCTTTTTTTTGTATTGAAAAAATATTGAACCGTGAGACTAAGATATCGGACCGAATCGTGAATTTTCTATATCATTGCAGCCCTAGTCGTACCATGTATTTAGTCGGTTTACCATGAAAAATTGAAGAAGGAGCGATTGTCTCTGTGGTTAATAAGGAATAAATAAAGATATTACGATTTACACAATATATAAAACTACGAACGGCTCTTTATTGCTTGTAACTCTGTTCTTATCGTTCATTACAAGGAGCCGTTTAAAAGATCTGGATCTCTATCCAGTATCTCAGTAACATGTTGCTCTGCACACGCTCACCATCCTGACCTTTATTTCATCGATGTCTCGTCATATAAAAACAAAAAGCTGCAGTCCCGCTGCTGGTTTCTCATTCAGTTGAGAAAAAAATGACAAAATAAAAACAGTGTTTACTGAGACACACAAAACAGGTTTATGCGTTTGATTAAAATGTTTTTTCTAGTCTGTTTTGAAGATGAGCATCAGARGAGGGGGCTGAAATCTTATGCAAATCCCATCTGATTAAAACAAGGTGATTCACCAACTGTTTTAGTTCTGATCTGATATGATGTTCCAGATTTGCTCCATAAAAAAGAGGGARAAAGGCAACTTTAATTTTGACCTACAGTTATGGCAACATAACCTTCTGTTTACATAATACAGCCCAGATTATTCATTTTAAATCGACTAATTAAAAAAATGTCTGACTTGAATTTCTCCTTTCTACTTTTTCACACTAAACTTAAACATTTCCATTATGTTTACAATACAAAGYAGATTTTATAATCCTTACTGTTCACTAGTTAAAAGTTTGAATTATTTAATCCTGTCTGCACTGCAGCACTCCCAACATGAGCAGAAGTTGGTTTTTTTTCCATTTTATCCGCTGTGTATCACTAATTATTCCGGCGCCTGGGTTTTGTTTACAGCAACAACAACAAAAAAAAAAAAAGATCAATGACTGAGTCGGATTTAGAAGCTGCTGCTTATTTTAGGGACTTTTACTTCTCTTTGTTAAGTAAAAAAAAGGAAGAAAAAAAAGAACTGTGCACTCAGAAATATGGAGCACCCACTCCAAATGTGATCAAACCCTTTCAGTATTTGCAGAGATAAACTGTATTTGTTACACTGTTGCACTGATGTTGATTTGTGAACAAGTTTGCTTTTTATCGTTTTACAGTTTTTTGGACCCACTATGCTTCTGATTTTTTTATTTTTCTTTCTGGTGTGGGTTAAATGTCTGAACTGTTGGAGAGTTTTGCACACAGAACGAACAAAAAAGAAAAGCTGGTGTTTGTGTTTTGTGTTTAAGTGCTGCAGGACCGATGAATGTGTCTGATTGTTGATGATGCAAATAAACAGAAGCTGTAATAACTGCTTGTGTATCAACTCTGGAATTAGTAGCCATCAGTGGCATCACTAGGCCTGTTTTAGGGGGGGCTTCAGACCCCACAAAAACATTTTCAAGCCCCCCGTAAATCAATGTAATTTTCCCTTGGGATCAATAAATTATTACCATCATCATCAAATCATCATCATCAACACACACACACACACACACACACACACACACACACACACACA